AGGGGAGAGAAAGAAGTGGACATTATGTTCTGTGCTTGGATGTGTTACTGACAGTTCAGTTGATTAACTTGTTTGACAGCAATTACCGTTTTAAAAAGTTTCAAAAATGTTATGCAAATTTAACAATTTGGTTTCACTATTTGCTTTTCACTTACAAGTAACAATTTGTGTTCTTCCAGAAAGCTTAAATTTACTTGGTTCATCAGTTTTTTTTCAATATTTTACTTGAATTCAAGTTTTGTTTTGATTTTACTAGTTTTATTTATTTAATAATTTTATTTATATACTGTGTGTTCTGTACAGTTAAGAGAAACTTTCATTTTAATAAAAAATTTGAAAAGTTTGAAATAAGTGACCAATGGCTGGAAATTTTTAATTTTCTTAAATTTATATAAAACGATTATTCGACTAATCGAAAAAATGATCGTTAGATTATTCGACAGAAAAATTATCGTTAGCAACAGCCCTAGTTCAATCCCAATGATCCCTCTGCCATCTTTATGACCCTTTGAAGAGCCTTCCTCTCTGCCTTTGTGGTGTTACCATCCCAGACTGTGATGACAGTGGTGAGGACGCTCCCCATCAGTCTTCTGTAAGCCTGGGTGAGGGGGCGACGGTTCAGACGGTTCTTTCCTGAGCCGGGGCTTTCTTCACTGTGGCAGGTGTGTTCAGTGACCAGCTCAGGTCAGGTGTCACCTGCAGGCCCAGGAACTTGTGGTTGTCAGCCCTCTCCTCCACCTCAGTCCCTTGGAGGGTTAGAGGCAGCAGAGGGGAGGGGTTCTTCCTGAAGTCCATTATTATTACCCGAATCCCCCCCCGCCCCCAGGATGGTGGTGTCATCAGCATATTTAATGATGATGGTGTTGTCCTGGTTGGAGAGAGTGTACAGGGTGAAGAGTTTGGGGCTGAGACAGCAGCCCTGCGGCGAGCCTGTGCTGATTGCAAGCTCAGCAGACACTGACCCTCCTGTTTTGACCACCTGTGGTCTTTCAGTCAGGAAGCCCAAAATCCACCAAGCTACAGTGTATACATTTAAAAGGGTTACTATGATTTTAACATATTAGTACAATTGACAGGCTAGTATTTTGAATAGATTTTACCTCTCTGCTAATGTCACTTGCTAACTGTCAGAGCTCTAATGACCTGTGGCAGTAACAAAAACTAATAGTATTGTGAACAAATGTGATTTACAGCTTCCTAAGTGTGTAAATATTATTTTAGTGGGTTTTGGCATTTTTTGTTTTACAGTCTCAGGGAAACAGACTACTTGCAGCTTTTCTCTTAAAACCGTATGCTCCAGTGCAGCACTGAACCAAAGAGAGTGATACACCCTCGCCCTATAATCGCTGTTGGCTCATATCATTGTGAAAAGGATCTATTAGGTTATTCACATTTTATAAGAAATTCCTGAACTCATTTTATGAATTACTCCCTAGGCTAAGCAGACAACATGCCTCCATGATATGCTAGTAATCAGTGACTTTCTCCACCACTAAAAAAAAGTGATAAAGTACTAGACCTACATTATACACCCACACAGGCAGAAATGAACATTTATGACAAAAAATGCAAAGCTAGTGAAGTAAAAATATAGCATATAGATATGTTCAAACTGATGTCAAGTATGACACCTCACCCGCATTAATAAGGACAAAGACAGCATCTCAGTTTTCTCACACATACACTATATTGCCAAAAGTATTTGCTTGTCTGCCTTCACATGCTAATGAACTTGAGTAACAACCAATTCTTAATCCATAGGGTTTAATATGATGTTGGCCCACCTTTTGCGGCTATAACAGCTTTAACTCTTCTGGGAAGGCTGTCCACAAGGTGGGAATTTTTGACCATTCTTCCAGAAGCGCATTTGTGACGTCTTGTGAGTACATTTGTTACCACACCTGCCTATATTTAGCCTATTAAGCAAATGAAATGTCAATTTAGCAGCCATCCCTGACATGCCCGCAGGGCATACACATGCGCGCACACAGAAACACAAAGACTGCTATACTCAAATACAAAAAATTTCCTTGTGCCAGCATAAAGTTGAAACATTTGCATAATTACGTACATTAAGTAATCAAATATCTTATCTTGAAGACCGTAAAAAAAGGCCAACTCTAAGCACTGTGTGTGGGGCTGGGTTGTGCTGATCATGCATGCCTTTCCCAGGCAACACCCTGATTAACAGAGACCATACACACGCTGAGCTGCCTGTTCACTTGGTCTGCTAAGGGCAGAGACACACCAAGCTGACGTGAAGGAACTAGCATGTACATAGTCCAACCTCTGCATCACCTGATGTCAAAAAAGGGACCCTTGAACACATCGGACAGACTACGGCCAATGGCTGTAGTATGTTCTGTGCCTACATGACAGAAACTGATCCCCCTACCAGCAGGTGGCAGTGTCTGTATTAACCATTCAGAAAGGGAAAGAAGAGCTAGAATAGGCTATAAAGTATAAACTATAAACAAAGCAGCTCTTTCAAAACAGCTGCTGTTACTTGAAATGTGTGATATGTTACAAATGACACTGGCGTTCTCTGTCCCTGGTGTTTTGGTTGTGGAAGAAGAAAGGAGGTTGTGGAGGTGAAAAAAAGGGGAAGCTGAACAAAATAGGTAAAAATCATGATATTACAGTGACAGACTGAGGGGGCTTTCCCAAACCGCTCTCTTCTCACACACTGAGATGCTAAGATGAACAGTTAGCCAGAATGGTTTCTCTCACTGACGGGCTGACTCGACATGTCAAAAAGCCACTGACAGGGACTGACTGGTGGCAACAGCATGGGACACGCCGGGAAGACGAGCCCCTACAGACACTCACCGATGGCCCAAGTCAAAATGGGATGTTTGTCAGTATTAATGAATGAAAGACAATGACAAATTGTCACCTTAAATAAAATGACAATTTTTCTGGTGCTTTATAATTGATATTGGTCAAATTCATTTTATGCTATACATTTAGCATGATATTTGCATTTATTTCTCTAATTCTGAGGGGTTGGGAGTTAGCCAAGTGTTTGGGGGCCCTAAAGGCCCCCAGTGGTGTCCTAGGTCCTGAGTTTACAGGTCTAGTCGAATGTTTGGCCTTAGCCAAGAGCTGAAATGTCCTTTTTTTGTTCACATGCTGATTTTACAAAATACAAGCATACTGGCAGATATTTATTACAAAAATTAATATGAACAATATCTTTTTCTTGCATGGTATGCATAGTGGACACATTTTATTTGATAAAAAAACAAAATCCACCAAAAGGGCCTGCCCCAAACAAGCCGATTATAGATTTTCTCTACTTATTTTGACTAGGCAGCATAATCTGATACTGTTACCATTAAATTTGATACAATGATTCATTCGACTATTGAGTCTGAATTGTTAAATGTATGCCAAAAACAAAACAAACAAACAAAAAACCAAAACCTAAAGGGAAGTACACTCAGCACTATTCAACCAGTCTTTCATTTCCTGTATTTTTTTTTTTTTTTTGGAATAATGTGTACATTTGAGTTATTTGTTAATTAAGATAGCCATCTATATAGGATGCAGAAAAAGGTGCGTGCAAGGGAGGGGACAGATCAAGTAAAAATTAGTAGAATCATTAGGGCTGTACCCAACTAAGGATTTTGTCAGTTGGCTCTTCAGTGCGACTATTCATTCTTTTTTAATAAATCTATGGACTAGACTGTCAGAAAATCAACTGGCATGAATTTCAGTGATGACTGACCACAATATCACTATTTAAATGCTACTATAAGAGTCTGTCAGCCGACAGGTATCTCAGCTATTTGGGGGCAGCCCTAAGAATCAGAATTGGATCGTCACCTCAATAGTACACCGTTATAGGAATTCACCCTACAGGACACATGTGTCAAACTCAAGGCCCGCGGGCCACATCCTGCCCGCGAGATCATTTTATACATCTTTTTTTAAAGGCCCGGCGCGGCGATATGAAGCGCCGATAACACAAACTACGAATCCCATAATGCAGCGCAACAGCTGCCTTACCGAACGATAGGCTACCTGCGATCATTCCCACGTCAATTACGTCAGATCAATCAAGGGTCTGTTGATGTATACAACCCTAATTTCAAGTCAAAGCTAGCCCCTAACAATGGCCAAGAGAAAAGTTGATTCTGAAAACAGCCTGTCTAAACAGGTGGGAGGCTGAGTATATGTTTACTGACATTACCGGTAAACCCGTGTGTCTTATTTGTGGAGCTAATGTGGCTGCAATTAAGGAATAAAACCTAAGATGGCACTATGAGGCAAAACATCAGGACAAGCTGAAAAACGTGAATGAAGAGCAGAAGCTACAGAAGGTAGAGGAGTTGAAGAGGAATCTGACATCACAGCAGACGTTTTCACCAAAGCAAAATCACAGTGAAGCTGCTGTGAAAGCAAGTTTTATTGCAGCAGAGGAGAAAATCAGCCTGGACATTTACCGAGGGAGAGTTTCTGAAGAGCTGCATGATGAAAGTGAGCGACGTCTTGTGTCCAGACAAAAAGCAGGTGTTTGCAAATGTAAGCCTTAGCAGAAATACAGTTGGTGATTTTCAGTTCAAGTTTATTTATTTTGGAATAATATTTTATCCTGTCTGTTTCGATTAATATGCATGTTCAAAAACGTTTAGTTTTAGTCTGTTCAATACATTTTTATCCTGTTTGGCCTGCGACCTAAAGTGTGCTTTGAGTTTTGGTCCCCTGTGCGATTAAGTTTGACACCCCTGATATATGGGTATGGTTAATTAAATAGTGTATAGTGCTGAAAAGTCAGTCTGAAAATGAGTTCATGTAACCACAAAATGACCTGACTGATCCAGATGTCAATAAGCTGCACTGTCACATATTTGGACTTAAGGACTTGTTACGTGGACAATAGCTCCAAATCAATTCAAATTAGCTTAAAAAAAAAATCAGTAAGTCCAGACTCATGCTAACATTCTAATATAGACAGCCTAAGTGTTGACAAGAGATAACCACTCTTTCATTTACAGAACAAGGCAGACTGGTTTACTGATGTTGCTATATCAACATTATACAATTAATTTCTGATTCCAATTTGAAAGGCATTAACTGGCTAAGGAGTGGCATTATTATGTTATTGCTCTGCATACTTTGATAAAATCATCAGATTGACAACAGACTGACACTGCACCAACAGTTCACTTTTACTGGTTATTTGAGTGAACCTCCCACCTGCAGCTAGCTGAACACAGCAAGACAAGCATGGTACTTTGTCAGAAATAAAGCTGTGGTGGGCAACCAGTTTTTCAAGATACCAGGAAATCTTACCTGGTCAGCCACTCTGTAAACCTCATTTTTGACACTGCAGTCACAGAGATAATAGTGGACTCTGCTGGCTCCATTCTGTCTCACCAGTTTAGCAGTTTCCTTCATCCCCTCCTGGTTAATATCCCACAATACCAGCACAGTTCCAAGAGCTGCAAACTCCTGAGCCATGAGGCGACCAATCCCGCTACCTGCCCCTGTGATCAGTACCACTTCACCAGCTATGTTCTTCTTCTTCATGGGCACAAAGAGGTGGATCAGCCATTCCACACTGTACCAGACAGACAGCAGGATGACCCGGATTGTTTCCAGGAAGAAATTCATAATGGATCTAGGAAGGAAGAGGGAAAAAGAAACATAATAACATGGGATAAACAAGTGGTAAGTTTAAATATTTGCAAAGTGTTATTGTTTACATTTTCTACCATCAATAATCATCTGACTTTAGTTATTGATCGATCTTTAAATTTTCCAGGACTATCTTCCTACAGTGTTTCAAAGCTGAGATGGACTGCCTGACCGCAAAGAAAGACCTCCACTGACAAATATTGAAGGCCCTGGAAAACTGCAGCCTTTTCTCACACAGTTTCCCAAGACGGTCACTGTTTCAAAGTACACAGTTATAGAGTCATAAATTCTTGATGCGACTTGGGTGAAGGATACAGCACCTACACGTTGGTACCATTATCTATCCTTTAAGGAGACTGTGAAGTAAATATGAGAGTTAACTATAGTTATATAGTAAAACTGAAAAGTAAAGGCAGACTGTGAAAGCCAATAAACATTAATGATCACAGACTTTATTAATTCAAGGATTTAATTAATGTGATTCAATCCTATATCCCACGAGTGTCGCAAACGAAAGAGCGATCTGTGCTCCAATACATAGCAGACAACAAAAGACATGCTGAACTTTGTGTTAGGATGTCATGAGGCATCATCATTTACTATGGCACACTATAGGCTGATGTCAACCACAACATTAGTTTTAAATGCAAAAGGGTGACAGGAACAAATTTGAGCATTTAAAAATAAAAAGCAGCATATGATGGAACATTTAAATTGAAGATATATAATGTCAGGCTGCCATATGGATTTGTCAGACCAACGAGACAGGTAGCACACTTGTATTTCTGTTGAAACAACGCTCATATAATCAATTTTTTTCTTCTGACACATGGTTACGGCCTAGTTTACCTACAAGTTTAAACTTCTCCCATCAGTTAACCACAGCGCATGTTGTTCCTGTGCACTTGATGTGCGCCAGCTCGCACTGCTAACGATTCCTTATTGAGATGTTTTCCCCAGACTTTTTGTTAGCTTAACAAATGCACACTGGCTGACAAAAAATTTAATTAAAACAAAGGCTTGACTGGAAAAGTCTCAGTTGACTGACAGGCCACTCAACTATTAGAGGGCAACCCTAACACACTACAAGATCAAATGAGTCAGATACCCATTTTTTAGTACACCCTGTGACAGGTAACAGCCCTAATTCTTACTAGGCGACTCTCGTTAATCGTTGCTTACTAATGATATTAATGGAAACATTTCAGAGTTTACCCCTACATCAATTTAGACCTATTTGTCACACTGTAGCTGCAAATCAATAGCTTTATCCACTTGCAGATCAGTCTACTGTTAATTCTTAAACTCTGACGCTGAACATTTGCTCCTCAGCCCAGATGAATATTGAAAAAAATTTCCCAAGATTCAAGTTTCTTCTTCTGCAAGCACAGAGTATAGACCAAGGTGTTAGCAAAACCAAGTTGACATTAAAAACTCACGAAAACATGTGGAAACACTAAACAACTCAAACAGTATGATTCACGGTCAGACACCTTTTCAACACTTGACAAATGACAGTTTATGCGTTTACGACGCAACCATTTTTCTCGATGGGACAATATACTCTGGCTGAACAGATTACATTAAACTTCGAAAATTCTCCCCCTAGACATAGCTAATGGGTAGCATGTTACTGGCCATCATCATGGTGATGAGGGCCATTGTTTGCTCTGTACGTCAATCATCAAACCTACTTCTTTGGGTGACAACGCCACTGACTGTTGATCTGCAAACGCACCCCACTTTCTGCTGGATGCCTCTCCTTGGCTGTACATAGTTGTCAATTTACAGTATTGTTCAAAATAATAGCAGTACAATGTGACTAACCAGAATAATCCAGGTTTTTAGTATATTTTTTATTGCTACATGGCAAACAAGTTACCAGTAGGTGCAGTAGATTCTCAGAAAGCAAACAAGACCCAGCATTCATGATATGCACGCTCTTAAGGCTGTGCAATTGGGCAATTAGTTGAAAGGGGTGTGTTCAAAAAAATAGCAGTGTCTGCCGTTGACTGTACAAACACAAAACTATGTTGTACAAATGTTTTTGTTTCTAGGATTTAGCAATCCTGTGAATCACTAAACTAATATTTAGTTGTATGACCACAGTTTTTTATAACTGCTTCACATCTGTGTGGCATGGAGTCAACCAACTTGTGGCACCTTTCAGCTGTTATTCCACTCCATGATTCTTTAACAACATTCCACAATTCATTTACATTTCTTGGTTTTGCTTCAGAAACAGCATTTTTGATATCACCCCACAAGTTCTCGATTGGATTAAGGTCCGGGGATTGGGCTGGCCACTCCATAACATTAATTTTGTTGGTTTGGAACCAAGACTTTGCTCGTTTACTAGTGTGTTTGGGGTCATTGTCTTGTTGAAACAACCATTTCAAGGGCATGTCCTCTTCGGCATAAGGCAACATGACCTCTTCAAGTATTTTGACATATGCAAACTGATCCATGATCCCTGGTATGCGATAAATAGGCCCAACACCATAGTAGGAGAAACATGCCCATATCATGATGCTTGCACCACCATGCTTCACTGTCTTCACTGTGTACTGTGGCTTGAATTCAGAGTTTGGGGGTCGTCTCACAAACTGTCTGTGGCCCTTGGACCCAAAAAGAACAATTTTACTCTCATCAGTCCACAAAATGTTCCTCCATTTCTCTTTAGGCCAGTTGATGTGTTCTTTGGCAAATTGTAACCTCACTGATTGAATGCCACGCTGCTATTTTTTTGAACACACCCCTTTCAACTAATTGCCCAATTGCACAGCCTTAAGAGCGTGCATATCATGAATGCTGGGTCTTGTTTGTTTTCTGAGAATCTACTGCACCTACTGGTAACTTGTTTGCCATGTGGTAATGAAAAATATACTAAAAACCTGGATTATTCTGGTTAGTCACATTGTACTGCTATTATTTTGAACAATACTGTATAAATGCCAACTTAACTTGGCAGTTTGCACTGCACCTCATTTTTGGTTATTTCTCACAGAAGTTCCACACAGAACCTTTTGATGGCTGTGGTCTCTGCTGTTTGCATTTGGTGCTGTAGTAAAATGATATACCGACCTCGTTATTGCATTATTTCCAGGACCAGGTAAAATAGCCACTTTGTTTTTAAAGACAAAACTATAGTAGCATGAAATGTCAAAAATCTGCTTTATTGGCCAGGTGTGTTGGACACAGGAGGAGTCTGACTCCACTACAGTGGCTCTTGGTGTGTGTACAATGTTCTTCCATATGGCAGCGAGTAGACAAGTAAACAAGATAAGAAAAAAAAAGTGCAAACAAGAGGAATATTCATTAGGAAAATAAAAAATGTATACAGCTTAGATAGTTTTCCAAATATATATACACAAAGGTGTATAAACAAGGAATATAAAATGGGTTAAGTGGGGAAGTGACGTAATTTTTTTTTTAATAAACTTTATTGAAAACATACATAAACAAGGCAGTATAACATTTTTTCAATATGGTGGGGGCAAGCTCACATGAATGCACAACGGCCTGGATTTATGTCCACTCAACGAGATTCTTAAACTATCATGTAAAGCTTTATTTTGGTAGATATAAAGAGTCTCGCCAGAAGTGTATAGACAGAGTTGCCTCTGCATATAAATACTAGAACATACGTGTGCACCTCATTTTCTGAGCTTTAGGTCACATCTAAGATGATAATTCACCGTTGTAACATTGTAGTTAAGTCAGAAAACAAGGAAAAGCGCCATGGGCTCTTTAAACAATTGTGGAAATGCTGGCGACTACTTTTCTACTGAATGAGTTTGTTGCAGCACTATTTCTATCTGCATGGGTTTCCACAAATACCTTGCATTTACATAAAGACGTCGGAATTCCTTAAGTCATCATGTAGGCTACATACTGGAAAGAGTTTCTGGCTTCGTGATTATTCCAGACACATGGAAGGTAGGACAACCACGATTATTTTAACTTTGAAAGCTTACAAGTTAATATGAAGAGCAGCTAGTACTAAAACACGTGGAAACACCGAGTCATTTCGGTGAAAACAATTAACTCTACATTTTCGCTCTTTTGTTCTCGGGGACTTTAGCGTTATCTAATGACAATTAATAAATTCCCACTGAAGACTGGCTTCCATTCAAGTCTATCACATTTCGCTAAAACCTTAAGAGTTATGACAGACAGTCTTTTTAACAGACTCAGCTTTACAATGCGCCTGTAGTTTGGAACTTACCAAGATATCCGTCCTGCTAAACTAGCGCCGTATGTTTAACAGCGGTTCTCTTCAGTGACCCAGCATGCAAGTGTTTGGACTTTAACCGTGGCCTTTGCTCTTATTGCACACAGACTAATATTAGGACACACAGCTTCTGGTCCTATCAAACGTGTATTACCTCAGTAACGTTAATAAAATCAGCACGGAGTGTCCGCTAGCCTACCAAATTCCGAAGTCGCTGAACGGGTCTGGCTGGGTTTGTCGTCCCGGCAGCGGCTTTGCAGTTTCTGTAGCCTGCGGAATTAAAAGCAGCTAGATGTCACGTCAAACGCAAACGAAAGGAAAACGCCTGCTGAAATTATAGAACCCGGATCTGTCATGTGACCGCGAATCAACCATTCCCAGTTTTGCGCGTCTCCTATATTACCCGAGGTATTGTGGGATTTGGAGTGTGCGTCGTAAGGTGACGCTAAGATCGCATTTAGCTACTGTACATTAAATAGGCTATACATTAAACACTAACCAACTACTGAATACTGAATGACAGTTTAAATCCATCATCAATATATTTGTTTAAGAGGTAGCAAACAAGAGTAAAAGACAAATAATAATAAACAATAGTGACAATAGCCAGTAGCCTATGATTCAATGACCTTTGAAATGACCTAAGATTTTATAATCTAGTGATCAAATTATTTCAAAAACACTAGACATCTGTCGGTTTTACTGATTAAAATGTATATGTGAATGATCTTTGACAACTAAAATGTTTATTAAAAATATTATATTATATTAACCTATTAATAAATATTTACAAATTATAGCCCACAAAGCAAAACTGGCTTGGATCTGTAAACTGTATATAGTAGAGTAGTACCATACCACTGTTACATTACATTATGCTATGCATAATGACAATAAAGATTCTTGACTTGACTTGACTTGACTTGACTTGAGAACTGCCTGCACTTTGCAGTCCAGATCTAGAAGAGGACTCCCTACATTGCCCTGAGCTGTTCTCACCTCCTGGGTCAAGTCCCTTCTGTGCTGTGCAGCACAGCTCCCATACCACACTCTCGCTCTGTAGAGGTTTGCGAGCAGCTGAGAGGAGAGATCAGCACGTTTCTGATCTGGTTTCTATTCACTAAGCACACCATCACCATCACTATATATATATACTGTATATACACTGCTCAAAAAAATAAAGGGAACACAAAAATAAGACATTCAACTATGTGGTGTTCCCTTTATTTTTTTGAGCAGTATATCTATCTATCTATCTATCTATATATATATATAAAGCTATATCTATCTATCTATCTATATCTATATCTATATCTATAGATATAGATATAGACATATACATATACACACACAGTGTATATAGCCATAGCCAGAAGAACAAGGGAAGGAAGAGCAGGAACCCTCATGGAAGGACATACCTCTGCACGGTATGTACCACCATCAAATAGAAGAAGTGGCTGATATCGAAAAATCCTACCAGTGGCTGGACAAAGCTGGACTGAAAGACATCACAGAGGCACTAACCCTGGCAGCACAGGAACAGGCTCTAAGTACAAGATCAATAGAGGCCGGGGTCTACCATACCAAACAGGACCCCAGGTGCAGGCTGTGCAAAGATGCCCCTGAGACAATCCAACACATAACAGGGGGTGCAAGATGCTAGCAGGCAGGGCATACATGGAACGCCATAACCAAGTGGCTGGCATAGTGTACAGAAACATCTGTGCCGAGTAGAGGCTGGAAGTCCCAAAGTCAAAATGGGATGCACCTCCAAAGGTGGTTGAGAATGACCAAGCTAAGATCCTGTGGGACTTCAAGATACAAACTGACAAACT